TAACTCTGGCATTCCTTGGCAGTCTCCCATCCAAATACTAACCAGGACTGACCCTGCTTATCTTCCAAGATCTGACAAGATCGGGCTAGTCTGGGCCATTCAGGTCCTGCAGAACCTTAGGGGCTGGAATATTTGAGTTCCCCCAGGGAACGATGCAACCGTAGTGCTTTTTTTTTTTTTAATTCACTTTTTATTGTTGAGTATATCCGTTTAACACAATCATAGTTCACTATTCATCTTATTGATATGCTCATTTTCCATTTTTAAACAATCTTGAACCAAACATACAAAGATACAAAAAAAAAAAATCATCTGAGGTTACTAATACAACAGCCAATTTTTTTTTTATTTTCTTTCTTTTCTTCCCTCTTCTTTTCATATGCCCCTATCTTACCCGTTTGTGTATCCCGTCCAACTTCCCCATAACTTAATAGTCCTCATAATACCACACGAAAACTACAGTTTCTACTAACTCACATAATGCTAGATTCTTCTATCTATTTTCTTCTTCTGTACCTAAAACGAAAAGTTGAAAGGGTTGCCTCCGATTGTGGGCGCTGTAGAGAACCCCTCTACAGCGAGAGGCCAAATAACCTCTCTCCCTATATTGCAACCGTAGTGCTTTAACAGCACCTTCATTGCTACCAATTGCTTTGCATCTGCTCCCAGCAGCTGCTGGAAGAAGTTGGTCAAGGATTGATCTGGGCATTATGCTCAGGCCAGAATACATGTGTGCTTTCTTCTCGAAGCTTGTTGTGGAGAGCAATAGTGAATGCGTTAAGTCATAGCTGTGTCCGTCAGTCAGTCTTTATTACGGCCCATGAGCCGCACTGAAGCAGAGAAAAACACTGTTAGAAGAAGAAGAAGAGTTTGGATTTATACTCCGCCCTTCACTTGGAGTCTCAGAGCGGCTTACAAACTACTTTCCCTCCCCCTCCCCACAACAGACACCCTCTGTGAGGCAGGTGGGGCCGAGAGAGCTCTTTTCAGAACTGTCCTTGAGAGAACAGCTCTGACAGAACTATGGCTTGCCCAAGGTCATCCAGCAAGTGCAAGTGGAGGAGTGGGGAATCAAACCCGGTTCTTCCAGATTAGAGTCTGCACACTTAACCACTACACCAAACTGGCTGTTAATTGAATTAGTTACCTCCATAAAACCTCTATATACTT